TTGGGCCCCCCCCTCCCTGGAGGGGCTGGAGCATGTCCAGAGAAGGGCAGCGGAGCTGGGGAGGGTTCTGGAGCCCCAGGCTGCTGGAGAGAGAACCCTCGTTCAGCCTGGAGCAGAGGAGGCTGAGGGGAGCCCTCATCGCTCCTACAACCATGCATGAGGGGGGAGCCGGGCGGGTGTTGGGGTCTTCTCCTTGGTAACAGGCGATGGGACAAGGGGAAACGTGCTTTGGTCATTTGGAGTCTTTGGCTTCCAAAACGGCTTCTTGAAATTTTTTTTATTGACGTCTTCGCTCCCTTCTACATGAGCCGGGAGCTTTCCAGCTCTTGGCTTCACCAAGGCTACAACCAAGGAGTTGGGCATCTCCCATCTCTCCGTCACCCTCCCATTCCAGGCGTGGAGCAGACGAAACACCTGAAGGAGGAACCAAAGGAGGAGAAAGCCACCAAACCCGAGAGCGTGGTCATCAAGCGGCGGCTGTCGGCGCTGGCCCAGGGCCAGGCCATCTCCGTGCTGGGCTCCCAGGGCTCAGCCACCAACCTGCTGGAGGAGGAAGCCCCCCAAGCCAAACGTCGCCCTGAGCCCATCATCCCGGCCACACAGCCCCGGTGAGCCCCTACGGGAGAGCACCCATGGGTGCTGAGGGACCCTTCCCCCTTCCCCCCCGGCCCTTAACCCTTGCCCTCCTCCAAGGCTGGCGGGCGCCGGTGGGCGCAAGAAAGTTTTCCGGCTGGGTGACGTCCTCAAGCCACTGAGCGAAGAGCAGATGGAGAAGCTGAAGCTCGGCGCCGTCAAGCGCATCCTGCGCGCCGAGCGCGCCGTCGCCTGCAGTGGGGCCGCCCAGGTATGCCCGGCACCCTCCCACCGTTGGTGTTGAACCTCCCAAAATCCCCACCCCACCCCCTAAATCTCACCTAGAGCTTCTTGCCTCCCCCAACAGGCCCGCGTGAAGATCCTGGCCTCGTTGGTGACGCAGTTTGAGGTGCCGCTGAAGAGTGAGGTGCTGGCCTTCATCCTGGATGACATCCGTGGCCGCCTGGACCTGGCCTTCGCTTGGCTCTTCCAGGAGTACAACGCCTACCTGAGCCGCTTCCCCGCCGGCAGCCTGGAACGCTACGACGAGTGTCTCATCGGGCTCCTCGCTGGCCTCCAGGAGAAGCCCGACCAGAAGGACGGGTAGGGACGGTGCCACCGGGGACGGGACGGTGCCACCAAGCATGGGACAGTGCCACCAACCGCTTTGCCAGGCTCCGGGCTGTGGGAGCCGCAGCATTCAGGCCATGAACATCCCCTCCAGATGGTCCCCAGGGTTGCCCCCCTGTGTCTCCATCCCCCGTGGTGTCCCCGTCCCGGTGACGTCCCCGTCCCGGTGACGTCCCCACCTCGGTGACGTCCCCATCTCGGTGACGTCCCCATCCTGACTGACGGCCATTTTCCGGCAGGATTTTCACCAAAGTGGTGCTGGAGGCGCCGCTGATCACTGAGAGCGCGCTGGAGGTCATCCGCAAGTACTGCGAAGATGAGGTGGGGACACATAGGGTTGATTGGGGACACAGGGTGTTGGAGACATGGGGACGAGCCCCGGTGTCCCTCACTGCCGTCCCCTCTGCAGAGCCGGACCTACCTGGGCATGTCCACGCTGCGCGACCTCATCTTCAAGCGGCCATCGCGGCAGTTCCAGTACCTCCACGTCCTGCTGGACCTCAGCTCCCATGAGAAGGACAAGGTACCGGTGCGGGGCTCAGCCTGGGTGGGGACACACACACCCCGCTGTCCCCGCCGTGGGTGACACGGTGCTGCCACCCCACAGGTCCGCCAGCAGGCCCTGCTCTTCATCAAGCGGATGTACGAGAAGGATCAGCTCCGGGAGTACGTGGAGAAGTTCGCCCTCAACTACCTCCAGCTCCTGGTGCACCCCAACCCACCCTCCGTCCTCTTCGGCGCCGACAAGGACACGGGTGAGTTTTGGGGGACAACACAGTGCCCGCTGAGGGGGTCCCCGGGGCTCTGGTGACGCCGTGTGTGACGCAGAGGTGGCGGCGCCGTGGACGGAGGAGACCATCAAGCAGTGCCTCTACCTCTACTTGGCGTTGCTGCCCCACAACCACAAGCTCATCCACGAGCTGGCGTCTGTCTACACCGAGGCCATCGCTGACATCAAACGCACTGTCCTGCGGGCCATCGATTGTGAGACCCGCGACGTGGCGGAGGGGGGGGACATTGAGGGGACACGGTGGCCCGGTGACGCCAGCGGTGGCTCTCCCGTAGATCCGTGGGATGGGGATGAACTCGCCCGAGCTGCTGTTGCTGGTGGAGAACTGTCCCAAGGGAGCCGAGACGTTGGTGACGCGCTGCCTGCACAGCCTGACGGACAAAGGTAGGGGACGAGGGGGATGCGGCGGGGGGGGACGTGACCTGTGGTGACGTGTCACCCCCTTCCTGGCAGTGCCCCCCTCGCCCGAGCTGGTGAAGAGGGTCCGTGACCTCTACCACAAGCGCCTGCCAGACGTGAGGTTCCTCATCCCCGTCCTCAATGGGTTGGAGAAGGTCAGAGTTGTCCCCTCCCCCTCCGTGTCCCCTCCCCTCGTGTCCATCCTCCCCCCGACTGAACGCTGCCCTTTTGGGTGCAGAAAGAGGTGATCCAGGCATTGCCCAAACTCATCAAGCTCAACCCCATCGTGGTCAAGGAGGTCTTCAACCGCCTGCTGGGGACACAGCACGGTAGGGGACAGGGACAGCCCCCAGGGTGGGACATGGAGACTGGCACCTCCCTGGGGACAGTCCCAGTGCTTACTGGTGGGACATGGGACCTCTTGGGGTGGGACATGGGACCTCCCTAGGGTAGGACACCATGGGACATCCCTGGGGGCAGTCTCGGTGTTCACTGGTGGGACATGGGACCTTGCTGGGGTGGGACATGGGGATCTCTTGAGGTGGGACATGGGACCTCCCTGGGGTGGGACACCATGGGACATCCCTGGGGACAGTCACAGTGCTCACTGGTGGGACATGGGGACCTCTTGGGGTGGGACATGGGACCTCCCTGGGGTGGGACACTATGGGACATCCCTGGGGGCAGTCCCAGTGCTCACTGGTGGGACATGGGACCTTGCTGGGGTGGGACATGGGGACCTCTTGGCACCGGTGGGACATGGGACCTCCCTGGGGTGGGACACCATGGGACATCCCTGGGGGCAGTCCCAGTGCTCACTGGTGGGATGTGGGGACCTCCCGGAGTGGGACACCATGAGGACAGTGCCAGTGCTCACTGGTGGGACATGGCACCTCTTGAAGTGGAACATGGGGACCTCTTGGGGGGAGACATGGGACCTCCCTAGGGTGGGACACCATGGGACAGTGCCAGTGCTCACCGGTAGGACATGGGGACCTCTTGGGGTGGGACATGGGGACCTCCCTAGTGTGGGACACCATGGGACATCCCTGGGGCCAGTCCCAGTGCTCACTGGTGGGACATGGGACCTTGCTGGGGTGGGACATGGGGACCTCCTGGGGTGGGACATGTGCCATAGCACCTCCCTGGTCACACAAGGTGGCCCAAGGGACAATCCTCGCTTTGAAGGGCCACCACGGGGTGGGGGTGGGCCACAGAACCTGGCACTTTGAACCCCCCTGCCACGGTCGTGTCGTCGTCCCCCCCAGGTGACGGCACCTCGGCCGTGTCCCCCCTCAACCCGGGGGAGCTGCTGATCGCCCTCCACAACATTGACTCCTCCAAGTGCGACATGAAGTCCATCATCAAGGGTAGGTGCCACCACGGCGGCGGGGGGGCAGGGTGGTCAACGGGTGGACGTCTGTCTGTCCTGTCCCAGGGTGGGCGTCTGTCTGTCTGTCCCGGGGCAGGGGCATCTGTCCCAGGGTCGATGGGTGTCTGTCTGTCTGTCCCGGGGTGGGTGTCTGTCTGTCCCGGGGTGGGTGTCTGTCTGTCCCGGGGTGGGTGTCTGTCTGTCCCAGGGTCAACGGGTGGACGTCTGTCTGTCCTGTCCCAGGGTGGGCGTCTGTCTGTCTGTCCCGGGGCAGGGGCATCTGTCCCAGGGTCGATGGGTGTCTGTCTGTCTGTCCCGGGGTGGGTGTCTGTCTGTCCCGGGGTGGGTGTCTGTCTGTCCCGGGGTGGGTGTCTGTCTGTCCCAGGGTCAACGGGTGGACGTCTGTCTGTCCTGTCCCAGGGTGGGCGTCTGTCTGTCTGTCCCGGGGCAGGGGCATCTGTCCCAGGGTCGATGGGTGTCTGTCTGTCTGTCCCGGGGTGGGTGTCTGTCTGTCCCGGGGTGGGTGTCTGTCTGTCCCGGGGTGGGTGTCTGTCTGTCCCAGGGTCAACGGGTGGACGTCTGTCTGTCCTGTCCCAGGGTGGGCGTCTGTCTGTCTGTCCCGGGGCAGGGGCATCTGTCCCAGGGTCGATGGGTGTCTGTCTGTCTGTCCCGGGGTGGGTGTCTGTCTGTCCCGGGGTGGGTGTCTGTCTGTCCCAGGGTCAATGGGTGTCTGTCTGTCTGTCTGTCCCAGGGTCAATGGGTGTCTGTCTGTCTGTCCCAGGGTGGGTGTCTGTCTGTCCTGTCCCAGGGCAGGCGTTTGTCTGTCCCGGGGTGGACATCTATCTGTCCCGGGGTGGACATCTGTCTGTCCTGTCCTGTCCCAGGGTGGGTGTCTGTCCCAGGGTCGATGGGTGTCTGTCTGTCTGTCCCGGGGTGGGTGTCTGTCTGTCCCAGGGTCAATGGGTGGACGTCTGTCTGTCCTGTCCCAGGGTGGGTGTCTGTCCTGTCCTGTCCTAGGGTGGGCATCTGTCTGTACCAGGATCGATGGGTGTCTGTCTGTCCCCTCCTGGGATGGGTGTCTGTCTGTCCCCTCCTGGGGTGGGTGTCTGTCTGTCTGTCCCAGGGTGGGCGTCTGTCTATCCTGTCAAGGGGTGAGCGTCTGTCTGTCCTGTCCTGGGGCGGGCGTCTGTCCTGTCCTGGGGTGGGTGTCTGTCCTGTCCTGGTCTGTGTGTCTGTCTGTTTGTCCTACTGCGTGTCTGTCTGTCCTACTGCGTGTCTGTCTGTCCTGGGGTGGGCGTCTTGTCTGTCCTGTCCTGCTGGGTGTCTGTCTGTCCTGTCTGTCCTGGGGTGGGCATCTGTCTGTCCTGGGGCCATCTGTCTGTCCCACTGGGCGTCTGTCTGCCCTGTCCTGGGGTGGGTGGGCATCCGTCTGTCCTGTCCTGGTGTAGCTGTCTGTCCTTCTGGGTGTCTGTCTGTCTGTCCTGGGGTGTCTGTCTGTCCCACTGTCCTGGCATGAGTGTCTGTCCCGCTGGATATCTGTCTGTCCTGTCCCAGTGCCCCCAGGTGTGTGTCTGTCCTGTCCCCCTCTCCCTGGATGTTTGTCTGTCCCTCTGGGTGTCTGTCCCTCTGGGTGTCTGTCCTCTCCCTGGGTGTCTGTCCATCCCACTAGGTCTCTGTCTGTCTGTCCTGGTCTGGGTGTCTGTCCTGCAGGATGTCTGTCTGTCCCATCCCAATGTCCCCAGGTGTCTGTCTGTCCTGCCCCCCTCTGGGTGTCTGTCTGTCTGTCCTGGTGTGGCTGTCTGTCCCTCTGCGTGTCCGTCTGTCCTGCCCCCCTCTGAGTGTCTGGCCCTCTGGGCCTCTGTCTGTCCCATCCCCATGCCCCCAGGTGTCTGTCTGTCCTGCCCCCCTCTGGGTGTCTGTCTGTCTGTCCTGGTGTGGCTGTCTGTCCCTCTGCGTGTCCATCTGTCCTGCCCCCCTCTGAGTGTCTGGCCCTCTGGGCCTCTGTCTGTCCCATCCCCCTGCCCCCAGGTGTCTGTCTGTCCTGCCCCCCTCTGGGTGTCTGTCTGTCTGTCCTGGTGTGGCTGTCTGTCCCTCTGCGTGTCCGTCTGTCCTGCCCCCCTCTGAGTGTCTGGCCCTCTGGGCGTCTGTCTGTCCTAGGGCCATGCCCCCAGGTGTCCGTCTGTCCTGCCCCCTTCTGGGTGTCTGTCTGTCTGTCCTGGTGTGGCTGTCTGTCCCTCTGCGTGTCCATCTGTCCTGCCCCCCTCTGAGTGTCTGGCCCTCTGGGCGTCTGTCTGTCCTAGGGCCATGCCCCCAGGTGTC